TTTTTTTTTTTTTTTTTTTTTTTTTTTTTTTTTTTTTTTTTTTTTTTTTTTTTTTTTTTTTTTTTTTTTTTTTTTTTTTTTTTTTTTTTGCGGACTGTACACGTACTGTAAAACATATTTCACTCAGATTTTAAAAAGTCACGAATGTCTTTTTGTTTTCTTGACTTTTGGCATTTTTGGAGTGTTGTATTTTTTACCTGGTTCCAAGACAGTGCAATAGCATAGATGGCATCTTTTACTGTAAACTTTTTTTGAAAATCAGTCACGTCACAGTCGGCATTTAACAGGCCTTGAGTAAAAGACCTTCTATAAAAGCATTTAAAATTTTGAATAACCCATGGGTTGCATCAAAGATGTTACGTTAGGTGGGAGCAGAGTAGCAACAATATTTCCAGAAACTGACTCATCTACTGGCGGGTGGGCTTTGCATTTGTCCAAAAGAAGGATGGCTTTAGTACCGAGCGCCTCCGGATGATCCCGAACTACCCCGAAAACTTCTGAATAGCTCTTGAGCGTTTTTATTTGCTTTAAAGACACACTTTTGGAGAAAACCCAAATTTTTACAATTTTCCGGAGCGATGCCGGTTTATCGGGCATTCCGGACTGTTGGATGCCGGACTAATGGACTTCTACTGTAATAGTAAAATGTAGGATTTACTTTCCTAGGTAAAATAGTATTTATCATATTTTTAGTAAGAAATAAAAACCTAAAATAAATTATACTTTGCTGTTTTGACGCATTAATAAAAGTACTTCAAATACATTTAATTATAACTCTAAACAAATTGAAAGAAATTTTTCTTTTATAAAAGCTCAATATTACTGAATAAGCTATTACTAACATATTTCATTTTCGTTATGCATTTTTACTTATTATAATATTATAATTAATTAATATTTTTGTTAGTTATTATTTTTCTTACCCTGTTAAAAAATGTTTGAACAAGTTTTCATCTTTATAATTTCATCTGCTAGAAATATAGTTCCTACAAAGCTAAAGTCACTTCTTAGTTAGAATGCACACTACATTTCATTCTAATGTATTATGGCACACAATATAAAAACTGCAAAACATTTATGGAATATTTTACTGTGGTGACCACATTTTTAAAAGTAGGAAATGGGATTTAAAAATGCTTTGGATTTTGTGTATATGTCTTAATTTAATCATGAATTGTTAAAAATAAATTAGGGTTTACAAAATAAATGTACTTTGAAATTCGTTATGCCTAGAATTTTTTTCTCTGGGGTAATAATAGTAAGTAATAGTTTAAAAGTAGGAATTTTATAAAGCTTTAAATATTGTGCATATTTATTAATATAATCATGAATTATTACACTTAAATTTTGGTTAACAAAATATATACATATTAAGATGCGTTCTGCCAAAAAAAAATTTTCTTTGTTGCTACATTTTTAAATGTTGGAATTTTAATTTTATAAAGCTTTGAATTTTGTGTTAATCCTTTGACTACCAGAAATAAAGGAGTGTACGATTATTTGCCATAATTTCTTGAAATTGTGAAAGAATTTTAATTCAGGTAAATGCTTTGGCAATCGCTGATACCAATTTAATATTATTTTTTGAAATTACTTTTGCGTTAAGTTGCCCAGTGCTACAAAAGGAATTATGAAATATATATTTAGTTCATTTTTTATAATTTAATTTCAATTTTTTCTAAGGTCTATTTTAGTAATTTATCGTGTATTTTACATAAACAAGAAAATTTATCTGTGAAAAAAAATTAATTATTTAATATTTTTAGCCAATATTTATTCCAGTTTTGTTAGGTTTAAGTTTTGTTCAGGTTATCAACCCAAAAGCTGATCTTAGCACTGATGTTTAATTAAAATCTTCATACTTGGGGCCAGGATAGTCTGGTTGGTAAGGCACTGGGCCTGTGTCCAAGAGGTCGTGGTTTTAATTCCTGCCGGCGGAAGACTTCCTCTGTAGTAAATGGTGACTGATGCACGTTAAATACGTTGAGTCACAAAGTCCTCCATCTTCCCATAACAAATCATACCTCAGGGGGTATTAATCCACGAGTTTCCTTGTCTTCTGGATTGGTTCAAAATTACAAGGCTACGGAGTTGAATATTAGTAGTTGTAAACCAAAAATTGGGTCGGCTGTTCAACGACGGTTATAAAATAAAATACAAAAAATCTTCATTCTTAGTTAAACCTGATTTTTTTTTTATTTATGTGTCAGGTGCATTATTGCTTTTGAAATATATCCTCCAATGTAACAGCTACAAAATAATATTTATTAACCTTTAAAACAAATATAACAAAACAATTACGAGCATATTATAAGGGCCCTCAGCGGCCAAAATACAGAATTATAGAAATATTCTCTTATCGAGGAAAGATCAGCCTACGCGCCAGCTCCTCTTCATCTCCTCCTCTCTTAATCTATAATTGGGTTAGTGATTAACTCGCCCTCTAGCGGTGAGCCAATCACTACATTATGTATTTATGTCCTTGATTATTATTTAGATTTTACTTTGTGGTGTGGATGTTTTATTCATAATCTTTTTGAATAATTTGTAGATTTTACCAACGGCTCAGCGCTTACTAGATGAGTTGCTATCAAGTCAACAGACTGCAATCAATACTCTAGGAGGTGCACCAGGTAAATATTTTGATTTAATGTCTTCTACTTGTGCATATCTTTCAGTTAATATTTTTACAACCCACCTGAAACATTTCAACAAAATTTGAATGACTTTTTTAATACAACACAATTTTAGATCCAACTGCTGGAGCTTCAATTAATGAACAGACCACTTGGTGTCTGGATGGCTCAACTCTTCATGACAATATCAGAAAAATTCTCATCAAGCTATGTGTTCCATCACCCATCGTCTTTAGTGATGTAAATTATCTGTCATCAACTGCTCCTCCTGCTGCTGCAGAATGGTCCAGTCTATTGAGACCTTTGAGGGGAAGAGAACCTGAGGGGTTATGGAATTTACTCTCTATTGTTAGAGAAATGTTCCACCGCAGCGACAGAAATGCTATCCCTTTGCTGGAGATTATCACAGATGAAATGTTGCAATGTGACCAGGTACTTAATCATGCTGGTTTATTGTTTAAAGGCTTGATTTTGTGTATAATAATAATTATTTATAAAGTTATTTATTTATTTTTTTATTGAAAAGTTGAGCTGGTAGGACAATTTCTTTAAAAAAAACATGTATTGCAGATATTGTCTTGGTGGTTCAGTACTAAAGTTTCTCTCCATACTGGATCTGGTAGTCATGGTGGTCGTGGAAATATGCACAGTAACACACATGCATCTCAGCATGCATGTAGTAGTTTATGTGATGAAGTGGTTATATTGTGGAGGTTAGCAGCTTTAAATCCTGCCCTATCTCCGCAAGATCGACAAACCTTGTTTGGTCAAGTATGTATCATTGCTATTTCTGTGTTGGAATTTTTTAATAATTTGTTCCATTAGAAATTTTGTTTATTAATTTTTTCTCTTTTAATTTAATTTAAGAATATTTTTCTTTTTTAAGTAATACAGACCTTAAAAGCTTTTACATGTTTTTTGAACTGTATATTTTAATAAAATTTCCATGCAAATTATTAAACTTTACTTTATCCATATTGAATTGCTATTTTTATGACAATTTTTACTCTATCTGTATTAAATGGCCTTTTTTGATGGCAATTTTATTATATTTAAGGATTTTAATATAATCTCAATGCTATAAGAGAAAATATACTTCTTTAAAATATTTATTTTATTTTTCTTAGATTTAACTTTTTATAGTCTTAATGATAGTATAGAACAGTGGTTTCCAACTGGCGGCCCGGGGCCCGCATCCTGCCCGCAAAGCTTCTTTTTGTGGCCCGCGAACTAAAATATATTAGTTGTCGTTTTTTTGCAGACAATTTTCGTAAAAAAATCTGAATGAGTTTAAAATACTTTTCTCGTTAATAAAAACCTAATTTCTTCGTTTCTGTAAAATTTAACATACCAACGGTGCAAAAAAAAATAACAAATTCTCAGGTTTTGCACCCAAGAAAATATTTATTCAAATACAAAATTTATCGTGTCTGTCGCTCTTTTTTATTTCTTTTTTCTGTATTTTGTGAATATAATTTAGCATGTGTGTATCAGAAATTTTCTATAAGAAATTCTCCGATTTAACTTTTTGAAACCACTCATTTTAGACGAAAATATTTACACNTTGAACATTTTGTGTGCTACTGTATAAGTTTTATGTCTTAACAACTTGATATCTGTTGCACATCAATTGTTTAATACATAGCTGCACATTAAAGTTATTGTAGCCCGAATCATTTAATATGCAGTTTGATATTTTTAAAAATCTACTTCTTATTTTAATTTGTAATTCAATAGTTTTGTTTTGTACAGCTTGGTAAAAATCTGACAGAAATATTTAATGTTCCTTCAAACATAAAAGAGTCCTACATAAGATTTTAATAAAGTTGCAGCCCGCCATTTGATTTATGCTTTTAACTGTGGCCCACGGCCTCATGTAAGTTGGAAACCCCTGGTATAGAAAATATTTAAGACTTTATACAAGTTATAATGAAAAACAAAATGTTATGTAAGCCATAGTCATTTTGTACAGAAATTTTTTTATTGAAGCTTACAAGCTCTTGTATACAAAAAAAAAAAGTTTTCAATGTAGCACAAAATTAAAATGCATGGAATATCCAATATGAAAGGCCTTTAAAAAAAGGAATCATTGTTGACAAATTTAAACCAAATTGGTTTTTTAAAATTAATAATTGTATTTTCTCAATTGAAAAAAAATTTGATCATTTTATTAAGTAAACTGATACAATAGGTTTTAACTTGAATAATTCTTATTAATGTCGTATGAGATTTTCACATACTTGCAAACAAAGAGCTCATTCTTTTACATATATTTTTAATTTAGCATTTTGATGTCAAAGTTTATTTCTAGCTAAATTGAAATATAGTTTTATACCTTGTTAACATGTTTATGAAAGGAAAAGTCGATGTTTTTTAATTGTTCAGTGACAATATTAATTATTAGCTGAAAAATGTTCATAATTATGTTTTATAATAGTTTAATTACTCTTAATTTCAAGCTATTATTAATATTATTTAACCCTTTGTTTTAAATAAATAAAATTTAAAAAAAAAGAAATCCTGGCTGAAACCAAAGCTTAAAGAAAGTTTTTTTTCCAACCCTGAGTAGAATTTGTTCCACAATGACCTATGTTTTGAATGGCTAACACTGTTTTTTAATATGCTATTTATACTTTTGCAATAAATCTCAATTTTCGAATATATATATATTTATAAATTTTAGCTCTAGTTTGGCTACATCTACGGTTGTTCGGAATAAATGTTTTCCTTTGGCAAGAGCAATTATTTAAAATCTTTGCAGAAACGTTTTGCAATCTGCTTTAAGCAGATTGGTAGGATATTGGCAATGGCAACTGAACATCTAAATTAAAGTTTAAAAAATAAAGCAAATGACTTTCATTACGGAAGTAGCTATTTTGTTATTTTTCACGGAATTTGAAAATTTAGTTCCCATTTTAATACTGCCTGTTTAAGCACCAAGCCGGAGCTCTATTAAAGTGTTATTTATTTTGTGCCAATTGATAAAAGTTTTGTAGCTATATAAAAAAAGAAAGCAGGATAGAAGAAATAGAACTAAGCATCGAAAGTTTGTTGCAAAATATTTAGTGCTGCTTGTTTTTCATTAGCTGATTTTTGTTATTATTTTTGTAGTTGCGATGCTGGCATGTTAAGACTTTGGAAAGAGTGTGGAAAACTCGCAGCAGTACAAATAACAACAGCAGCAGCACCATCAAAAGAGCCGACATCGAAGTTTTCCCTGGTTTTCGGCCGGCAATGGAAGGTTGCTTGTTAGATTGGAGCGATTATCCCATACCAGGTGTAACATACGCCGAAGGAGGTGGCCGACGTTGGTACTGCCCGTACGTTCATGTAAGAACTAATGAAACCCCTAGTTCTGCTGTTGCTACTGGAAATGACAGTGACAATGCCACTTTAGCTTGCTTCTCTGCCAGAAGAGGTCGCTCTGTTGATGTTGGCCAAATAACTGGCCTCTGCCCTTGTGATAAACAATCGTCAGATAAAAAAACCATTTGTGTACTCAATTTTCATCACGATCAACCACCTGAGCACAAACTTGGTAGTAACCGCAGCTCTTTGAGCAGTGAGGGCTTTTGCGAGAATGAGCAAGAGGTGTTGGCAGATGCTCTGAACGAATCATGCTGCATAAATGTGGCCCGTGGAAGCGATACTATTAGGAGTTCCGGCATTGCAACAAAAATGATGATTTCTAGTGATTTGTGGAATTCGGAAGAAAGCCTTCAGGATGAATCTGATGGGGCTAAAGGTTCCTCGTCGGATGCATTCAAAATCAGTATTCAGCCTTCTACCAGCAAGGGTGTCGGCTCTAAAACTGGGTTAGATAAAGATAAAAACTCAAATGTTAAGCCATTGGAGGCTGTACCATCTTCATCTCAACAACTCAATGGTCATGTCCCTCCCTTAAGGTAAGTGAAAAATTTATTCACTTACAAAAATGTTTTTTTTTTCCTGTACTTTTTGTAATACTGTTTACAAAATACTAATTGTACTCTTAGAAACTATTAAACAAATCAATCAGAACTCCTCATTTATATGATTTTTATTATATCTATTGGTTACTTTTTCAATATTTAAATTGCCAGTGATTATCATACATACAGACTATAGTGTGTCTATGAAAAGCTATGTGCTATGTAGTGCTCTCCCTAAGTGTTTTTTGCAGGATGACCCATCCTGCTTGCCCTTTGATTACAATAAATGTGTACTTTTTTCACTTTTTGTAAAAATAAGTTGCCATGTCTTAAAAGCACTACCTATTTATTCAGATTCCTTTCAGAAGAAAAATTGTTTCACTGTTTAAATAATAATTACAACATTGAGAAAGTTATCTGCGTTTATAGGTTAAATTCCGGTTACTGTTATAAATATTTACTTAGTTAGGATTATTCTCAACTGATTAAATTTTTATAAGTATCTTTTATTAATTTTTTGGGGGGAGGGGGTGGGAGGATATTAATAAGTTTAAGTGGTTTGAATTTTTAAATAAATATCCTTTATTTTTTTTACAAAAATACGTCTTTAAAAGTTCATTTTCTCATAATTTTTAGTTTAAATTACATAAGAAAGCTTTCAAGCTGTTTATCAATTAATCATTTTTTGTTAGTGTATTCTTTTTTGAAAAAAGAAGTATGCACCACGATTGTCTTTTAGCTTGCCTTTAATTATTTTTATAAACTACAAATTTTTCTCATTTTGATAATGAGAGAGAATTCCTTTGTGAAATATACTCATAAAATAATATGAGAGGATAATTTAAAAATTGTTGAGGGTACAACTCAGTTATTACATAATATTACACATTTTGATAAATATTTACGATGTTAAGTTAGTGCCCATTCCAAACTTTAAGTGCCCTGTTCTGAGAGAATTACCTTGCCCTTTTTTATTCTTCGGGAGAACTCTGGTGCTATGCTAACTAGTCTCTCCTCCTGCAATTTACTTTCAATTGTATTATTTTTTATTCTGATTTCATCAACCTGTCTGAAATAGCAATATTAATTTTCATACCATTTGTTTTATGATATCCCATCACAATATATTTTGTAGTCTACAAATTTTGATTTTCGGTTAAACAACATAAATTAGATTTACTTAAATATTAATTTTCTGTTAATAATTATTTTAAAATAATGATTTTTAATTGGCTAAATTCTTAACACTACCAGATGTCTAGAAATAATTTTTAATTTGTCTAGAGTAATGAAATTATCTTAAAGTAAGGAAATTGTATTTGAAAATTATCATGTTTTATTAATGTCTGCATTAAACTTAACATTTAATTCTATCTTAATGAAATGCTTGCATGCAAAAAAAAAAGGTAATTATTAACTTGAACCATGCTAACATATGAGGACTTTTTCTCTTAAAGTTTATATGTTATATTAATCATAAATATTACTTTTCCATTAATAGTTATTTTAAAATATTTTTCTTTTTATTGACTAAATTCTTAGGGCTACTGGATGTCTAGAAATAATTTTAAAATTGTCTTGATCTATGAAATTGTCTTAGACAAATTACATTTGTTGGTTGGTGAGAGTTATTATTTTATAATAATGGTCCCATTGAACTTAACATTTAATTCAATCTTAATAAAATGCTTTCATGCAAAGAAGGCAGTTGCTAACTTTAATCTCATTAACTTTTGATGAGAATTTTTTTACTCTTTAAGCTTACATATTCTTTTAAATTTAAACTAAATTTTCCAAGGAAACTACTATTTGACATGCTTTTAATTGACATAAAATTGAATCATTATTGTTTAACTGTTACAAAATAACCACTTAATTGCAAAATTTAATTATTACTTATACTGCGTTTGTTCACCTTTATTACGCTCTTATTATACATAGATACAAGAACCGATTTAAACTCTATTTATAAATTTCAATTGAAAAAGTATGTCCATATGAATATAGGGCAGAATATAAAATATTGGATACTAGCCAGGCTATAATTTTCACTCACCACTATTTTCACGAAAATATAAGCAATTTTTAAATTATTACTTGATGTAGTGTAATGATTTTTCAGTTATCAAAACCATAAAAGCATGTATTAACTGAAAAATTGAATTCTATTTATTCGAAATATTAATGGTAATAATATCTTAAAATAAGGTTGCCTTAAAGTTTCAATGGTTCCATTGTCATCAATCAACCGCAAAAATCATTACAATCAGAAAAGTATCAGAAATTAACAAATCATAAATACTTTTCAATACTTAGTGTTTGTAAACCACTCTTAAATGCCATTTGATAATTGTTGTCCTAAGGTCATACTCTATTATGAAGGCTGTCCATTTATAGAAATTATTATTATTGACTAATGATTATTAATTATTATTACAATAATGTATAATAATAATAATCATTAGACAATTATAATGAGTATTAACATCAGAACAATAATAATGAATATTATTTATGATTATTAATTAATGAAAAATGAAGTTGTCTTAAAGTAATAAAAATTTCCTAAATTAAAATGTCATCTATGCTTTTAAACACTTAGTGTTTTTATGCCGCTCTAAAATGCCATTTGACAATCCGGTCCTAAGGTCATACTCTATTATGAAGGGTGTCCATTTATAGAAATTCTAGCAAATAGTTATGTCTTTAAAAAGTTTTTGTAAGTCTTTATTTTATTGTATCATCCTGAACTTTATCATGTAAAAACAAAATCTTAATTCCGAGGAAATCATGATATTTTGATTTAAAATACAACATTTTACAAAGCAAAATTTACTCACCAGCTCTAAATGTTCAATTGCCAGTGGGGAGCTGGTTGATTGAAAATTTTGCACCCTGGTATTTTGGTATTTATTAGTTACATGCAATTAATCTCTTATAAAATATTTTGATTACGATGATTTTGTAAATTTTCGATTCTTCTCTTAGACAAGCTGAGTGCAGCGGTGAAGCTAGTGAATCCCAACAATCCAGTGATGAATATCATTTATATTATTATGATCCCAGAGTTAGACTTCAAAGCCCTGACCATAACCAACAATATGTTGTTGAAGAACAGTGGTTTTCTGTTGCTGTGAAGAAAATTGAAGACTCCTTAGAAGTAAAAAAATATATAGATATATATATTTATATTTATACTAACATTAATTTCAAATTCAGAACCTTATAAAATTTTGAGTTAACTTTGATGGTCAAATTTTTTCTTAACAGTTTTTGAAAGTGTAGGATTGTCATTTTACGCAGTTGTTCATTTGTTATAAGTATTGTTGTTGATTATTTGAGATACTTTTGAAAAAGTCATTTCATATAAAGATAACCTTTTTTTTAAAAAAAAAATGCTAAATAAATAAAAACAAAAATATTTTGTTATCTTGCATTGTTTTAAGAACTTCATTTCTATTAAAATTTAGGTAATAATTTAAAAGCTTTATCTTTGATAATGATTCGCATTTTTGAAAATTAAATTTGCATTTATAATCGCAGAATAAATTGCATCAAAAATTCATAGTATTTATTTTTGAATTTTTTTTCCTGTTTTATGATTTGTTCTATAATTGAAAACTTTAAAACCTTTACTTAGTAGTAAAAAAAAATGTTTTTACCCCAAAATTACCTTAAGGCAAGTATTATAAAAATCCAATATAATTAGGAATTTATCTGTGTCAGCAACAAACACTAAGAAAAACATTTCTTTAAATATACAATCATTTCAGTGCTAGTGATTTCTATAGAAAAATTTTCGTCCTAAAAAAGCCACATTCAGCTTCAATTTATTTATTAAAACTTTATATATGTCAAAATTTTCCTTTAGGTTCTATTTGCTCGAGCTGAAGCTCTCCATGCACATGGTCATTCTCATGAAGCTTGCATGCTTGCTGTTCGCTTAGCTGAAGAATTGCTGGCGAGTCCACCAAATTTAGCTGTTGAAGTGCCTGCAACAACATGTCGAGGCAAAAAAGTTCGCCGCTTTAATCCAGCCAGTCATCAAGTTAGTTTAATGGCCTCTGCAACCCTTGCAAAGGTTGCCTTTTTGTGTTCTGTGCTCGGAGAAAATCATGAATATCACCATCTTGCCTTCCGTGTTGGATTATTTGGGTTAGAAATGACAAGACCTCCTGCATCTACCAAAGCTTTAGAGGTATTTTTTATTTGTTCATTTATTTTGTAGCTTGCTTCTTACTGTTATTTTAGTTTTAAGAATGTATTTCATATTTATCTGTGTAAAGCTAGTCTTACTTACATTTTTATTGTTAAAAAGAAACTAATACTGGCATTCTGTCAAAATTAGTAGTCTTCAAAAATATAGTTTACTTCTTCTCTTGTGGTTATTACTCATTCGTTAAATAGCAGGACCCACGCTAATGTCTTCAAATTATTAGCCAGGAAATGAGACGAACATCATAAATATTCTCAACCAAAGGCAAATCTTAAAAAAAAATTGATTGTTTTTTCTTGCAAAAAACTTCAAATCAAAATACAAATTTACTATAATTAAATTATTTTATAAAATACAAATTCAAATCAATAGTCACTTCACAGTTGGAGAGGATTAAGTGAGCTATGAACAGGAGAGGATAAAAAATGTAGATGTGGTTTTAAAGTCTTAGAGGAAAGGAAATTGGAATAGGTTGGGGTTAATTTTTGACAATTTTTTGGACTTGAGCAGTAGTATAAGAATAAACCTAAAGCAACATTATGTTATGGTCACAAGAGAACATATTTTCTGCTAAAATAGTTCAATGATAATATGCATCTTTCTTCCACTTCATCTATTTTATTGACACAAACTGTAAGGAAAATTGTCTCACGATATCGTATGATCTGGCAACAAATGTGATAATTTGTATTTTAAGGTCTCATGCTTACGTAACTTCTCTTGTTGCTTACATTATCAGGACTTACTATAATTCTAATTGATTATGTGGCTTATCTAACGGAAATACTGTAATTGAATGGAAAATACAGGATTTGTTCAGAAAAATTACCTTTGAACTTTTTTTCGAAGGAAATATATTTTTTTCTTTTGGTAAAAAAATTTTTTAGCCAAAACACAATTTTTTCACTAATTTACTGTTTTATCCCATTTTGTTAAGCGATTTGAATGAGTTACACGTGCACGTGCCTTAATGTAGTCTTCTATTATGTAATTCATTATTGTAAAAAAAATCCCTGATTTTTACTTTAAAATGTTGTCAACTATAAGTTATCCACTTATAATTATCAATTTTTATTACCAATATCAGAATAAGTTATCCACTGATTCTGATATTGGTAATAAAAATTGACAACTCACTTGGTATATTTAGGTGAAATTGGCCAACCAAGAACAAGACTTGGTGCTGCTTCTTAAACGACTCCCATTATTGGATAGAGAAATGAGCATGCTAAGAGAAAGAGCTGAACAATTGCGTGATGGAAAGTTAGTTTCAAGGGGAGAAGCTCTATTACCTTTGATGCTTGCAAGTTTCATCTTTGATGCTCTAACTTTATCAAGTGAGTTTTAGTTATTGTTAAAAAAAAAAATTTATCTAACACTTCAAAACATGTGTAGAGGTATTTTCGGTCGATATTTTGTGTAAATAATAAATGCACAATAACAAAATATGCATGCTACGATTTCACAAAATTTTGTTTGTATTATTGATAGTGAATACCATTGTGCAATCTGTTGCATTTTTTACTCTGTTATTGATTGTTTTCTAAATTCTTTACAATGGAACGATATTTATATTAAGCTACTGTAAATTTCTCTTTTCCATATCAGAAGTCAGCTATGATCAAAATGACAAGATAAAAAAATGAAATTTAATTTATAAATTTTTTAGATGCAAAAGATTAGTGATTCTGTTTTTAAAATTTAGTAATTTTTAATTTGAACTATTTTATTTCATTGTTTTCTGTAGGCTCTGTTAATCGTGGAATCCCTCTTTTATACAATAAATTACCTGGAGACGAACATTTAGGATTTGAAGCAGCAGTTGCTGCCTTAGGTAAGTGGTTTTTAAACTTGACTTCAGTGCATAAAAGTTTGAACGTTTGACATTATTCAAATTACTTCTGTCAAGCACATTTTGCGATATTTTTTAACTTTTTCTTTTCTGTGGTAATAACAATATCTCTTCTTTTGTTTGTTTGCTTGTTTCTTAAATTTTATGTTAGAATGTGTAGATAGTGAACAGTGTTTTCATCATAGAAAAAAATGGGTGAGAATTTCTCACCCTTTGTTAAAAACAGGGTAAGATTTCGAAAAGTGAGATTTCTAAAAACTAGAAAAGCACAAATAGATTTAAAAAATTCATTTCTTTAATTATAATACATTTTTAACGTCTTCTGTTTTTTAAAGCATTGAATATTTTTGCTGCATCATCATAGAAGATTTTGCTTTTACAAGGTATTTGTCCATCTTACATGAGTGCATAAAAAATTTGAACGTCTTACATGAGGAAACCTTACCTACGGTAAACACTTGGTTGCAGAGAAATGTGTTCTGAAAGGGGTTCCATAATTTGGAAGGGTAGTGTTCTGTTGTTCGAAAAGGTTCTAAACAATGCTGTTAAATGGGGAAGCTAGATAACGGGGCAGATGTTGAAAATAATGAAAGATTCAGGAAGAAAAGTGAAACTGATTTTATTCTAAATAGCGTAATGCGAAGCTTTTTCCAAAATGCTAGAAATTTGCGAATTTCGAAATTTATTTATAAAATGCGCGAATTTCTCGTGGTAATCATTTTTTAATGCGAGAAAAGAAAAAATATGCGAGATTCTCACATTCTCGCGCTGTAGTGAAAACACTGGTGAATAAGCTTTAAAATATATTTTTTATGTAAACTCACCATTTGTGATTTTTGCTATTTTTGTTATTTGTTTTACATTGGAATATATTAGAATAATTTTTGCAAATTAATAGCATCCTTAAGGAAAACAGAAAGAACCTCACATTTATTGCTTGAAACTCAAATCAAATTTTAAACTATATACTACCTTGCTGAATAGAATTATTTACACTTTAAATTGAATAACAAGCTTAAATTTTAAAAATCGTTTTAAACTTTATAAAACTAAAAAATATATATATCACTAATTTGGCTAGATTTTTTCCATCTAGATAAAAACACGGAATGATCCATTTTTTGTATGTTTTTATGAGTTCAAACAATGTTGTGACTTCTCTCAAAATGTTAAAAAATAGATCATAAATGCTTTTCATTGTCACAAAACTGTGCGTATTCTTTGTATTGAGATTTTGTACCATTTTTGTAATCAGTGATATGCATTTGAAGCTCTAGCTGAAGATAGACAAAATTTAACAATCATGAATAGTCCATAACAATTATAAAAATAGTATGTTATTTACTTATAAACATGACTTCATATGATGACAGAGTCATCAAAGAACATCTTATGCAACTATATATATNTAATTTTGTTCCTTTTTACTCCTTGTTTAAGTCCACTTAAAGTTGAACATTGTATATGGATTAATATTTCCAATAAAGCCATATGTAACAAAATATTTTTTTTTTTCTAATCAGGACTAAAAGCTAATGTATCTGAAGCTGAACATCCACTTTTATGTGAAGGCACTCGACGACAACGAGGAGATCTAGCTATAACACTGTTGGTCACTTATAAGGATGACCAGGAAAAATTAGCTAAAGTAACTTCATTCCATATTTTGCTAACATTCTTATATTTATATGCCATTTCTTTAACTGTTCTATGTAGGATTAAACATTTTTTTAAAAGTTGGCCTAAAAATTTGGCTTTCGGGTGCTGCAATGGATTTTTTATTTCTTGTCATTTAGTAACAACTTTATTATTTCTTAGTATTACAAGAATTTGTCTCAAAAATTATGACTGAAAATTAGTATGCATCTTCATAACAAAGTGTAATAATAGTTTTAATGAAAAAAATAATAATTCAAAGTTTTGCTCATCTTTTTCAATAAAACTAAATTATTAAGGGTTCTTAACCTTTTTTTTTGTCAAAAAATTATTATTTTATTTTTAAAAATTTACTTAGATCGTTAATTTTTTTAAGAAAGAAATTTGAATTGAATTTAACATGTTTTAGCTGAAAAACTGCATTTTGAAGTTTTGATGTAATATTAATTTTTATGTTTTTTAAGTTTATTAAATTTAGCTTTAAAAATAAGTAGGAACTTTTTGTTTCTTACAATTCATGTTGTTTGAAAGAATTGATTAGTAAATGGGGGCTACAGGTTTTGCAACTGTTTAATAAAAAATCTTAGCATTTTATTTAAATCTAAATTTGTCTTTGGTATTTGCTTATTTTTATTTTTTATAATCTTTCCCACATTTTATAGTTTATGCTTTTAACATCAATGAAGAATATCTACTACTATTATTATGTAGTAAATTCTGTCTTATTAAAATAAGTTCCAAATACTTTAATTAGTTTATACTTAATAATTACTTATTTAACCTAACCACATTTAATTAATGGGTAAAAGAAACCTGAAATGTGTATTGAAATTGTCAACCAGTATACTATATTAATAATAAAAATGTTAAAACTTTTTTAAATTAATAAGCATATAAAAAAACTTTTTGTGAGAAAACTTGTGTGTTTTATATTTTTCGGTACATTTAGAAACACAGTGACACTTGGAATTGAGTTTGAATTTTTATTATCTATGAAATCCACATGCTATTTCCCTTTTAACAAAATAAAGTTTATTTTACTCTATAAGATTGAAAATATAGCTAAGAAATGTGTCAGCTCTGTATGTTTCTTATTGTTTGCAGCTACATCAGAAATTATCTTTCTGCTTTAATTTTTCAAAATGCTTTTAAAGCATGAATCACTTTTTAAACTTCCTTAAGGCAGACTGAACTTGTATTTTTAAGTAAGTTTCTTAAATTTAAACCAATTATAAAAAATGAAATTCTTGCTTAAATAGATATCAAATGTTTCTTAAGCTTATAGTTTCATTTAAAAGTAGTTAGTACTTCAATTAAAATATTGAAATTTTAATTATCTAAAAAAAATTCTCTTCAAAATTTAAATATATATATGTAATGTAAATAACTAAATATTAAATCTAATTTATTGATCTATAAATAGAGTTCACAGTAAGTGCACAGTTGTGAAAAAACTTTTCTACACGAGATTGGAGCAGTAATTATTTAATTAACTTAGAAAATTTGATGACATGGCTTTTGTAGCATAGCAAATCAATCATCAGTCTACTGTTACAAAGGTCTATTAATATTGTCCGGAAAGATATAAGGTAGTTTATGGTTTTTAATCATAGTGCGTAGCGTTTTTAAAAAATACTTAAAAGTGCTTATTTTCGGTTCATTTTTTAATAGCCCTTAGAGGTGCTTTTTCGTTGGGTATTTTTGAAAAGTGCTTAATTTTCCCTTTTCGAAAATGAGATTCTTTTCTCTACCATGTCGATTTTTGCCACATATTATGCAAAAGAGTACTTTTCACATTATTCTATTCAACGACAATTCATCCACAATCTATTTCGGCGTACCGTCGGTCCATAGCGCATGAAAGTACTAATCATTTGAAATGTTTGATGAAATACTTGCGAGTTCATTAAGCTGGGTTCAGTGAGATTCTTGCATTCTCATGTGCAACTCTGCTGCATTTTGCGAGATATTCTCAATTTCAAGCTTCATTTTCCACCCTCCGATATCAAACCGAAAAACCACTCAATCTTTATCTAATGGCTAATATAATCAAGAAAAGAGTTCTTTGTCAGAAAATGGTTATTCTATTATTATCATGTATTTTGCATTTTGTTAATGATAAAAATATTATAGTGAATATAATGAAAATATAATGATAAAAATATAAATTGTGCTTAAAAATATATTTTGAGTGCTTAAAAAGCACTTAAAAGGTGCTTATTTTTTGTTGAAAAATTGGGCTATGCACCCTAATTTTACATCCATAATGCAACTATCCCACTCTCACCTAACTAGCCCTCAGATCTAAATAAAATGTAAAGTTTTAATCTAATAATCCTGTTTTGTTTGTTTGTTTGTTTGTTTTTTCAGATTACTAGTAATCTTTTAATGGTTTGGAAGTATTACAAATTTATAAACTGGTCTATCTGTTGGTAAAATTCAAAAAAAAATTTTTTTTAACTGAAATTGGAAAGTAATATTCCTTTATTTCGTGAATTTTTTTGTCTAGCATGTCTCATTGTTTCTCAAATTTTAATGAAAATTGTTTTATTTTCTTAAACTATTGATTATTAAATATATTGACTTTGATTTTAAGATCATGGAAAAACTGCTGGATAAGGAAGTACATCAAATGTACAAGGCACCAGCCTCTTCAGTTTATTATTCTTCTCCTGCAAGTTCACAGCAAAGTAATGGCTCAAGCACAGTGCCTGATGAGAAAAGTGTTAACGATGATGGGATAACTAAAGATACAGATGAGACAGATTTACATGACGAAACAGAAAATGGTCATAATGACCCTCATAGAGACTCAGATCGTCAAAACCCAGTGGTACGTCCTCGAAGCTTGCCTTCTGCTCAAAACTCAACCCCTGGAACTAGTCGAATGAGGGACATGAGACAATCACATCGGTTCGTATTATTTTGTTCTTATTTGAAACATGTACTTAGTTTGTCATTAGATTTCATGTGATAGTTTTTTTTATAAAAATAAGTTATCTCTTCTAGCGGAAAATGTCATACAGATGTTTAAGCCTGGAATTTAAAAAAAAGTTTCTGTGTCATTACATGATTAGGTATAATTAACTACGTTTCAAAAAAATTCTTCACCTTATTGGCCATTCTCACTACTGGTACTCACTTTAGCTGTGATGGACGCCTGGCAGTCAGTTCTTATAGTCTTCTATCAAAAACCAATGGAACAATGCTACAATACAAAAGGGAGATCAACCTCATATTAATTATGCCTCAAGACTCACTTCTTCCGTACCACAAAATGCCCAGGTCATTTTGACCAAATGTAGAGTTTATTTCAATCAATTAAAAAAGGATTTTAAGGGGGGGGGAACTTATACATTTATTTTTCGTAAAGTATTTTTGATCTGCATTATCAAAGGATAACACCTTTCTGTAGAAAATTACTGCTAAATAATCACAGCTCATAAATTAAGATACCAGAAAAAATTATTCTTCCTACTAAAGGTTAAAGCACTATCAAATTCTTTGAAATCTCTTATTATTTTATTTTAAAAAATGTTATTATTTTTTTAACTTTAATGCTCGTTTTTTCATGAGTATTTATGGTCTTAATTGTCAATAAAAGTTACTACCTTTTATCAAGAAATTTCTGATTAATTATTATTATTATTGCTCTGGACGGAGCCGCGATGTCTCAGGGGATAGAGCGTTTGCCTTCCAATGAGGCGAACTGGGTTCGAATCCCAGTTGACAGTGGTAGATGGATCATGGGTTAGAGTCCCCTTGCCATCAGGCTAACCTTAGGAGATTCTCGTAGTCTTCCTCTCCATTTAACGCAAATGCGGGTTAGCCCCTTCAAAAAGTCCTCCACAAAGGCAAATTTCTCCCAATACTTGATCCAGGAGTTCCCTTGTCTTCTGGATTGGGTTCAAAATTACAAGTCTACGGAGTTGAACATTAGTAGTCATAAACCCATAAAATTGGGTCGGCTGTTCAACGACGGTTATAATATTGCTACGGGCAGTCATAATTTGCATGTAAGTTTTGCTAAAATTAATGTATATTTTTTCCTTTGGTATGTTCTTGTTTAACTATATTTAATGTGTTACTCTAGGCTTTTTAAATTGCTTATAACTATTATTTAGAACTGGTGAAGACAATGGTGAGCATAGTGAAGGAGCATCTAGTCCAGGCTGGGAAGAGGATTATAAAGCCTGGGAAGCAAAATTTCGTTGCACAAATTTCCGTACTACTAAAAAGCATTCTGGAGGTAATGACGCAATTTTCTAATGTTTGTCTTAAAAAGCAACTTAAAGCTTGATTTATTTTAAAATGAATTCTGTACATAATATATGTAACAAATTATAACAATGACATTAAGGCAAATATTTATATGTATATGTATGTACAGTGCGCAGAATAAAAAAATGGACCACCCTGAATAAATTTTTATCAATTGAACAGATATTAACATTCTAGAACGTAGTTTAAATGGTTTGAGGAGGTGACCTCAAATATGCTAATAAATTAGTGCAGAAGTTATTTTAAGTTACGAAATCAGATACAAAAACATACTTTCTCTGAATGAACATACCTTTTTTTAGACGGATTCGGAAAGTCGTATTGTAAAAATTTAATTTCTCACGAACTATAAGACTGATTTCACTCAAATTCAATATTTTGCCATTTAAAATTTTACTCTTTAAAATAATGTAAAAAGTTATGTACTTTGCAATTCAAACTTTTTCCAACCATTAGTAAATAAAATAGTAATAAATATTTATTCTAAGTTATTTTTTGCATGGAATTTTCTTTGGATAAATGAATTTTATAACCGTGTGCTAAAATTTTCAATTTGCTTTAAAGATAAAGATTTTCGAGATATTGTACGCAAAAAGTAAAGTTAACATTAATAGAAAGATTCGATCATTAGATCAAAAGTTGTTTAGGATAGTCCCTTTTTTTGTCGCACTGAACATGTTTATCATTTAAGTAATAATCTATTTCTTTAACTGAGATGCATTCATGTAAATTGTTTTATATAAATTAAATGGTATTTATATATAATTTAGGCTTACGTATACAGAAATAATATTTTCTACATTTTAAGAGTAAATAGCACACACCATATAGTTACAAATATGGGCGTTGAAGGAGTTGTATGTAATGGAATACCCGACTATGCACACTGTGCATATACATATTATCCTTAGATTTGCTTGAGTTCAAATTGCAATTTCTTTAAAATGTGAAATTTATCCATAGAATCATTACTTTTATCTTTAATTTTTCCTTGTCATTTAGTATCACTGATACTAAATTACCCTAAACAAGTATAAATTTTTGTAAAGAACTACTATCCATTGTACTTTAGTTTTTTAGGTCGTAATTGAATGAAATATTTTACTTAATTTTAAATTTACTATATTAGCCTATTTTATTTAGCCTATAATGCATTTTTGTTAAGTTTATTATATTCAGATTTTAAATCTGGGACAAATTTAGTTGTGATTTGTAATATTTATCAAATATCTGCATGCTGTTTACTTCTCTGAGCAGGTGAGCAAGGTTCAACTCTATCTGACAAATATACATTCCTTATATTAATTTAGACTCTATTACAAGTTTTTCTTGTTCATTAAATGTATTTTGTTTTACTAACATATTGATTTTAAAATATGCTAAATAGTTTGCTCTCCATCAAATTAAAACATTTTTATTCATGAATCATCAGTTGCATTAATTATTTTAGGAATGGCAAGTATTGATAGTAGTGCTCCTGAAACAACATCCAGCGATAACTCACCTACTGTCGTAAGACGTAGTACATGGCTAAAGCAATGTGGACCTGGAAGTGATAGTGGTAGTAGTGGCGAGAGTAGCGATTCATTTGCCTCCAGTTCATCTGAAGATAAAGCTCCCCGATCTAAATCCCGAGAAGGAGAAAGGTTTCTATCATTTATTTGCTGTTATAAATATATTTAATTGTTTGTGATATTTTTTTAAGAGTCATTTTTTCATTTTACCATCCTTTCCTCTATCAATGATATTAGGAGTCAGAGCCTCCTGATTGCTGCAATTTACCATCCTCCAATAATTGCTCTGCAGGCCATGGTAGCCTGGTTTGCAGTGCCACATAAGGCAGCAAAATTATCCCAGATAAAAAAAATTTGATTCAATATCCATTCGGATTTTTTTTTTTTTATCAAGTGATAATTTAGATGTCTCTTAAGTGAATTTAGCAATTATATTATTTTAAGTAAAATGCTTTTTAAAAGACTTTTTACACTTAAGTGACAATTTTAAATGTATACAAGCTTGAAAAATAAATATTAGTTTTATATTTATTTATGTATACAGGGTGGCCACTCACTCTGGAAGCCGGGAATTCTCAGGGAATTTCATGTCGATTCTGGAAAATAATTTTGTCGCGCTTCGCAGCTCTTTTCTTCCCATTCCGTTATGTTTAGTTTTTCGGAGTGAAACGCATCTGCTTCATTGCGATCAAGCATCACTTGGTTATCCTCCAATGAACGCTTCGTGTCCCCGCGAAAAAGCAGAAATCCGCTTTTTCCGCTCCCAATTTTGAAAATTTCCGACCATGTTCCAAAAACTAAAATTTTTGGGAAGTCCTATTGGAGAAACCCAAGCCGCCCGAACGATAGTCGGATTACCGCGACTTCTGCTATAGAGTGGAAAGGAGTCTAAGCGTTTCGTTACGAGCGNGGTATATTTTTTATATTTATATTTAAAATAAGTTTCCCAGATAATATAAATGAACAACATTATATGACTAAATATTTTTGTCTTTTCATTTATTAATAATTTATTTCACAAGTAATTTCGATCTCAATTCTAAATTTTTAGTTTGATGTTGTTGATCAATTTGTGTAATAAGCTATTTGTATAACAACTTTTTATTTTATACAAAATAAAGTTTCTAAAATTCCTTGAAATGTAGATTTTTATTTTTATAATTTTTATGAACTTTTATTAATTTTTATGGTTGAGTATACAGCAGTTATTTTTTTATATGTAAATTTTATGGCTGCTATTTCAATAATCTATATTTTTAGCAGAAATATGTGTATTAATATATATTTTTTGGTGCTAGAAATGCCTAACTTTTTACACCTGTTTTATCAGAGAACATTTACACTTTTTTCTCATTTTAATGTGTCATCAAATCTTGTAAATGTGTGTCGACATTTGTAAAAGAAATTCATACAACACACTTTAAAAACAACACAGCTGTATATATATATTTTTTTTATTTACTGTATATTGTTGTATAGCTAATAAATTTATGAAGTCTCATTAATGTTGCGTTGTAGTATCTGGAATTTTAGAAATTTACTCTGGAAAGTCTGGAAAACTCAGGGAATTTTTTTTGATCTGGAGAGTGGCCACCCTGGTATAGTACATATATTATTTTCCTATATTTTAATGCATATTTTCTTTTCTAGCCTCCCAATTATGATTCACGGTACTAGATTGCCTACAACATTTCCTTCACCAGAAAATAATGTTCGATCCAATACTCCTAATATCAAGAATACCAGGTAATTTCACTTTTAAGTGTTTTTTTTTTTTTTTTTTTAAACAATCACTTGATAAGTAATCATTTTAATAAAAATTTATGCATTCAAATACATTTTTTTTCTAAAACATCTCCGTTAAAAATTATAATTTTTTTAAATTTGTACTTGCTCCATCCTAAACTGATTTTTTAATTAATTTCAAGCGTTATAGATGTTTACATCTTTTTGTTTTGTTTTTTTTTTTAAATTTATAGAATCTATAAATATATTTTATTTCATTTCTTTTAGACATTTTTAGAAAAGGAATTTTCATACGAGTGAATTAGTTTTATAAGAAAATAATTTTGCAATTTTTATGACACAATAATAATAATTATTATTATTTACGAAATATTTTGATTATAAGGAATTAAATATATATGATTTGTTATCTTTACCACAAAAATATCCACTTTGTATATTATCGAGAAAAGTATTTCAGTATTTTCTTTTTGTTCTATAAATTAAATTCTTGTGTTATAGGTTAGTAATTTTCTTTAAAAATGTTATAAAATTGTTTTTTTCTTTTAATCTTTTTTTTTTTACTTTTAATCAGCAGTAAGTAGGACCTAACACAACTCTAATTGTTACTAATAAAGTAAACAAATTACTACTCTATGTTTACTTTAAAGTTTCACATTCAGAAAAAAATTAAACTTTCTTTTAAGTTTATAATCGTTAATATTCAACTTTTATTTTATTTGAAAAAATTATTATGTAGTATCCAAATATGATTTTTGATAGGTTTCTTCAATAATTTAGCGGATAAAATCATTACTATTAACAAATTAAATTCTTGTTTAGAAAATAAATTAAAAGTATAACTTTTTATAAGTAATATTTGACAACTATAAAATAGTAATTTATTTCTGTTTTCAAATTTCCTCATTTTTCTTTATAAATTTTACAATATCTGTGTGATGCAAATATATTGCTGCTCAAACCGAACACAATACACCAATGTTAATTGCTTTTTTTCAAAATTTCGATTTTGTTTTAAATATATATTTTGATGTAGCATTTTTGAAGTTTATGATGCAAAACTTCAAATATTTTATTAATGATATTTCTTCTCATTAGATTTAAGGGAAAACGGGCCTATCCTAGTGTCCCTAATCAGCCAAGTGAGGCATCTGCTCATTTCATGTTTGAACTTGCAAAAACAGTCCTCACAAAAGCTGGTGGTAACAGTTCAACAGCTGTTCTTTTCACCCAGCCGTCAGCAAGCCAGAATCACAGAGGACCTCACAGAGCATTGCACATGTGTGCCTTTCAAATTGGATTGTATGCTTTAGGTCTTCACAATGCTGTTTCTCCAAACTGGTTATCTCGTACATATTCTTCACATGTTTCCTGGATAACAGGTATATTCTAACTGCATTGTTTTGTTTTGTTTTTATTATTATTTTAAGTTTTTTTTTCTTAATTTCAGAACATAATTATTTTGTCCTTTTTAAAAAATTTGACTGTTCATTTTTCTGGAAGCTTAGTGTATCGTATTAGTTTTATCACCATTTATATACCTCTTGTTTTCAAACAATTTAATATAGCTCTTGTTTCTTTTATTAAGAAATATTCTATTGAATTATTTAATTTGTGTTAATTTTTTACCGATAATGGTAGTTCAAAAAAAATTTGGTTTCAGTTTTCTTTCTATGGTTTAGACATTAGACAAAAATTTACTGGTATCAATTTATAAAAATGTGTTAGTTTTCAAAAATTTATAATGTTAATATTTAACAACTTAAATAATTTGCTTTTATATCCATAGCATTTGAGGGAATTTTCTATTTAAATTTTCAATTGCCTGCTTTTTATGAATACTAAAATAATAATATTTTTTTAAGAAAAGCTAATTATTTACTTAGCAATTTTCCTCAAAATTCAAATTTTTTACAAATTTTGATCAAAGACTTCATAGTTACATATTTTCAACATGTTTTTTATTTTTCTTGGAACCACTCAAATAAACTTATGCTACAGGAATATTTTATGTGCCACGCAACACGAAGAAAAAGATATTTCCAAATATACTTATTTTTAAAAAAAATTATTTGACAGTTTAAAACTTCTGTTTTTGCTGTGTAAAATTATAATTCTCTGTGTCTGTGACTTAATAGATTATGATATTGTGACAAATTTGATAAAAAACTCATGTTTTTCTTGAAATAACAACAAAAAAAAAACATTTTAATATAAATTTTATTTTGTTTTACTCATTGCTTTATGAACTAAAAAAAATTAATTCCCTCATTTTTAAAACTTACTTATCCTCAATTTCTAATATTGTTTGATTCTTAACTCCAATTTTTCCTTTTATTAAATACATTTTGTTTATAGGTGAAGCAATGGAAATTGGCAGCACAGCCATTAATTTCCTCATTGAAACTTGGGAAGGCCATCTTACTCCCCCAGAAGTGGCATCACTCGCCGATCGAGCTTCTCGAGGAAGAGATCCCAGAATGGTGCGTGCAGCTGCTGAGTTAGCTTTGTCTTGCTTGCCACATGCTCATGCTTTGAATCCCAATGAAATACAGCGAGCATTAATCCAGTGCAAAGAACAAAGTAGTGAAATGCTTGAAAGAGCTTGTCTTGCTGTGGAATCGGCTGCAAAGGGTGGTGGAGTTTATCCTGAAGTACTTTTTGATGTTGCAAGAAGATGGTATGCATTTTTATTAAAAAAATTCTTGTTTATATATTTGTTGTTGCATTATTCATTGTATTTTTCTTTTCTATATGGTATTTAACAATATTAAAAAATAGGTTTGGAATTTCTTAAATGTATATATTTTTTTTCACTTTAATTTATTTAATATTATTGATTATTAGATCAATTGAGCATAAAAAGAGTAGTTTGAAGCCATTATATATATTCAAATAAATAAAAATATTCAAATAGTCTAAAAATTTATGGTGCAGTAAGTCCATTTTTTTTTTTAATTGAAAATATTCGAAGTGGTTAATTTTATATGGAAAAAAATGTAGTTTATGTTGGGGAAAAAATAAGAAGAAAAAAAACAATTCAAATTTGAGGAAATTATTTATTTTTTAGCCACTTAGGAAAAATGTCCTAGGGATGATTGTATGAGGGTTATGCTACTATAATAAGCAAAACTATTAATTTTATTATATATAAATTGAGAAGTTCATAAAGTTTAGTTACTTTTTGAAATAATTATAGATTATTACTTTAGTTGTTAGATGTATAATACTTGTTATATAATGTTTCAAATTATCTACAGAGATGCACATTCTATGGTACCCAAATCCTTTTTACTTGGCCTCTGAATTGTCTAAAATATTAATAAAAATATAAAAGGGAAGAGTGCATAATTTTATTTTTTTCATCCATGATCTATATCAGAAAATTACTGATCTAGTTTATAGCCTTTCTCAAAGTATCAAAATGTAAAAATTTTATTGCTATATTTCTATTTATGCAATGAGTTCAGATTTAGCAGTAAAATATATTTACTCATAAACTTTTACAAATAAACTTAAAGAAAGGAAGGAAAAAAATACGAATATATATTAAAAAAAAATATATGTATCATTTCAAAATTCTCATTTCAAAACAGTCATCACATTAAATGCTGTATTAGGAACAAATTTTGTTTTCTGGATAATAATGAAAGTTAATTTTTAGGATAAGTGTAAATTTAGTTTGCATTTTTTGTTGTATGCATGTGAAATTTATCATAATTTGTTTTTTTTATCTAATAAGTTTATTTGTTCAAATTTATTTACATTAATTATGATCTGTACGGGAGCAAAAAATTAATTGTACATTTGTAACTCATTCATATTACTTTCAAACCTAATCTAAATATTTCTCGCATGTTTATAATTACAGCATTATGTTAATATTGGGACGCAACACTGTATTTGCATTTTTAATGGAATACTGGCAAAAAATGGTTGTGCATCCCTGATTTACATTAATTCATATCACGCATCACAATACTTAAAGTGCATCTTTATACTTATTTAAGTAGACTTTGTTTCTGTTGATGGCCTCTCATGCATAAGAAGTAGTTGTAATGCATATTCCATAGCTTTACATCCAAACTAATCAGGGTTAGATTAAGAGGGGCTAATATGGCTGGTCCAAAAATCAAGACCCACTAAAAGGGATCACTAAAGTTTATGAATGTATAATTCATTTTTGTGATTTTCCATTAAAAAAAAAGACTATTAGATATTTAAAAATGTAAGGATTTACAATCTTCCTTTGGAATCTTTAAAATTTTATATATTTTTTAATTGTAAAATTCTGAAAATAAAAAATATATAAAGTTGACCATGTTATTTCCGTCTGTCCCTCACCCAGCTCCCTTATTTTATCTATTATCTTCTTTTGCTTAAGGCATAAGAATTTTTTTTCTTTTTTTTTTAAAAAAAATTAATCTAATTTTCAGTAACCATCTTCAAAACAGTTATAATTTCTTAGGAATCTTGTTTGGCAAATTTATAATAAATTTATTAAAAATGGAAAATTCTAATTTGTTATTTGCGATATTTATAATGTGTATGTTTGCTGTTTAAATTTTGTATGTTCTTGCAATTACTTAACATTTATTGTTTTGTACAGCAAATTTTACTGATTTGGAAAAATATTCAAATATCAATATTTAATAGAATTATTATTTTTGTAAAAAATTAAGATTTTTAAAATAAATATTTGTTGTTAAGTTTTGAAAAACAAGTTTAACTGAAACTGAATTTTATAAAAAAAGGTTCAATATTTCTGAACATTTTGGATAATTTAGTATAGGTTGGGCCTCAAGTTACACATAAGCCTTAGGCTTCATCATCCCTCAATTATTAAAAAAAATTTCTTTTTCAGGTATGAACTGTATGAGGAGAGCTTAGACGATCATCCCAGTAATCAATCGGAAAGGCATTCAAACTCAGAAATCATCTCTCATGATATTTTATCTTTACCTCCGCCGCCACCCACATGTGATCACACTGTTGTCTCTTCTCACAACATCCATTTGAGTCAAGTTGAAGGAGTCATCACAACTGTACCATCTGTTCAAGTTCTCCCACCATTAACTTGCCCCCCTGTGTCATACACATTAGCCTATCCCACGGCTGCATACGGATACATGCCATTTTCACACTCTCATGTGCCCATACATCCTGCATATGTCCCTTCTCCAGCATCTTATCCCTATCCACCATTAGCAAACTTATCCTATTACCCACCCACTGTTGCTAATACAACTCATATTCGTCATCCCGCTACGGGTATGTACCCAGGACAGGTTGTTGGTACTGCTGTGACTAGAGCTTCGGTAACTCAGACGACTCCGGTTCTTACCATGAATGGCCATCCAGTTGTTACTCAGCCTCCTCCTCCATCTATACCACCTCCTCAGCAGACACAGGTAATTTAGTCTTATAAACTGTAGCACCACATTATACCTCACTCCTTTTTTATGTCTTTATATTAGACAATACAGCTCGGGATGACGTATCGGTTAAGGTTTTGAGATTTCATTGTAATAGCCTGGGTTTGCTCAACTCGATTTTAAATCAATGTGCAATGCTGTGGGTGCTATCAGTTAAAGCGCCATTTACACGGCTGGTTGGAGATCTGGGGGTAGTAAGCTGGCAGTTAACAAAACAACCGGTGGGTATACACAGCAAGGTGCACGTTAAACCTATTGTGACTGAAAGTCCTCTTGTTGGTATTTGCCGAGAGAGGTATCTGCTCAGGCGCTGTCCACGACGTTTGACCATTGTTAAAATTGCGTGGCATTCCTTTCATGGTTGTTGAAAGATGGAGCTCTGAAATTAGGGCTAGTTGCCTGGTCATGATTGAGTGATGATGTGCAGACTGTGCTTATTGCCGACATCAAGCTGTTGGTCAAAACATTTTAGAGTCTTAACGAAGTAGGCAGTTTAGATCCCACCATTTCTGTGCTGTTAACGTTCCTCCCTTTGTCTTCAAGATATTGAAATTGAAATATATATATATAAATGCCCGAAACGTTCTTTGTAATAATCCTTATTTCTCTTTCACTAATTTTTTACTGCTAATATTTAGCCTTTTTGGAACATTTTCTTATGTTTAAGGTAAGAATTATTTGAAAAATTTCCAGATTGCATTGCGAGGAGATAGTTAGCACAGAAATCCTTATTTATTTGTTTGCCAAGTTTTACAATCATAATACATTATTACCTAATAATTAACATAACCTGCCTAAATAAATAGAATACAAAAAAAGGATAGTTTTCATTGAAAATTAAAAAAGTTTTTCTCTAATTCATTAGAAAATTGTGGACAATCCCTTGTAAATATTCTCAATAATTTAAGTTTTTTATTCCACACATTAAATAATTTTTAAATACTTAATAATCAATTAAAATTCCTGATTTTCAGTCACTGGAGATAAATATTTCAATAAACTAGAAAAAAAAAATTTATTTATAACCAAAGAAACATAACTTCTGTAATAAAAACTGAGAAGTGGAATGGAATGTCTGTATCAAAGTAGATAAAATGTTTCTGATTGAATTTTATTTTTTAAGATTCATGGGCCACTTCCTCAATTAAACCAGAGACAAATGGGATATTTGTTAGCTGCTTATCGAGTGGGTATGCTTGCTATGGAGACTTTAGCACGTCGTGTTCATGATGACAGACCCCAAGCCAAGTATGCTCGGAACCCACCCTATGGAGAGGATGTAAAATGGCTTCTGGGTATTGCTAAAAAATTAGGTCTGTGTTTTGATTTCTTTACTTTTGAACTATTCTTATTATTATTTTGTTGCAATTTCTTAGAATCTATAAAATATGCATTTGCTTTGTTTTAATAATAATTGTAGGGTGCTGAGAATACATAGATTGAAAAATAATTTTTTTTGAAATGTTTGAGGATATTTTAAAATTGTATTAAAATATTTTTTTGTTAGGAAATATTTACATTGGTACCTTATTTAAATTAATGTCTCACACTTATTACTTTTTTTTCCTGTTAAATAACTTTATTTTTTCAAAACTTATTTTCTGCCAGTCAAACTTAAATAAAAAAAAATTACTATTTTTCTCATTAATATTAGGTCTTATTTTTAATTACCTGAGCTGTTAAAAGACTTGCTATCAGTTTCAGGTCTATTGAAGATGAAGGTTAGATATTACATCAGAAAGGTTGCATTGCGAATACCTTAAAAAATATGCAGTATTTTTAAAGCTCCTATTTTCTCACATCTACATTCTGTTGCCAGGATAGTGTGACTGTTAAATAGAATTATTAAGCATATTTAATGCTCACAAACAAATTAATGACCTTCGCAATATCTTTTTAGTTTTGAACATAATAAAACTCAAATTTTGAATTTATGAGGTATATTGTTTGTCCTTTTAAAAATTCCAATTTTTCCCACACATAACTATAACAATATAAATTCTAAACAGGGCTATATAATATAATTCTAAAATAATTTCATTTTTTAACGTCAGTAGCAAAGTTTGTTCATGCAAAAAAAAAAAATTATTGTTGCAAAACCAAGGCAAGTAAAGTGACATTGCATTTTCATTTTATGAAGCGGAAAATTCAACAAAATCATAAATGTGTGACAAATCTTAATATAAAATGGTTATTAAAACCATTATTAAATTGGTAATTACATGTTAATGCAATGTTATTAAAACAGGTAATTTAAATGTTTACTCATTAAGAAAGTTTAAATAGCACTGTTTTATAATATTGTATTATATTATATTAAAATTATGCTCTAAATTTGGCACATTTGACAAAATGCAGAATTTTTACCATGAAATGTGGTTCCTTTGAAAAAAAGATAGTTAACTGATGTAAAAAGTATCGGATAAAACTATAACAATGTGAATTTATGATGGAATCATCGCTAATTTTCCAGATGTCAGCAGTCGTAACTTAAATTCGAAATTTGTGAGTCATAACAATGAGTAAATCATTTGAAAAATTAAATGGAAGTAGCAAAATTAAAAAAGATTATTAGTTGTCAAAAAAATTATCCAAAATAGATTTGTATCAGAAACATCACAAACTGAGCATGTCAAAAAGTGATTACTCAAATATGAAATTCTTGTATCATAATAGTATTGTATTGAAATACCAAAATTTGAAAAGCCTTGTAAAAATTGGTCAGAAAACGAATAAATAACTGTTTAAAAAAAACTATCACCACAAACTGACCATTCAGTCTATAATCTAAAACCATAAAAGGTCTCTAGCTATTTTTGCTCCTTGCTAGTCAACAAAATCGCACCCTGTTTCTAAATATATATAATTTTTATCCTCTTTTTAATTTCAGCAATTTGAAAACAAAATTATCCAATTTTTAATTTTCAATAAATATCTTTGTTTCTTAATAGTTTAAAATTTGTCTGCATCTGAATGGGGAGGTGGAAGGTTTCTGTTAACAATAATGCTATTAAATTACCTTTCATAAGCTGTTTTTCCTGTAATTTTACTGATTTAAATTTTTGAGAAGAAATCTTAGTAAGTTCTAAGTTATCATTAACTATTTTTCTAAAGATTTTGTTTAATTTTTAAGACTATCCAACTTAAAAAAGTTTTATTAATCTATATAATTTTAGCAAAGAACAATTATAAAGGACTTAATCCTCACAAAATTTTATTTTCACATTGCTGTTATTAAACTTTCTAAGCTTATAAAAACAAGTGTGCAAATTCATTTAAAAATAACAATTTTGACAATGCTGGTGAACTTTTGATATAACATGATAAGAATGTTTTTCAAAATTTTATGATTGCTTAATAGATTGCAAAAAGTGAAAAATTTTTGCAAAAAGTTTTTTTGAATTACCATTATTGATTTTATTCATCTTGATTAACCAATTTATTTTTCCCGTTTTTAGGAACATCATATTTACAAGATTTTTGTATTTGCACCGTAAACAGTGTTGCCAGTCCATTCATATTGCATGAGATTGTAGTGGAAGCTGCACAATATTTAGCTCGCTCAGCATCACCGCCTCTTCCTCAACCATTGCGTTCACATCTTCTCACTCCACTGATACAAAAGTGTCAACAAATGTATGCAATTTTTCTTCCTTTTCTTTTTAAAAAATTATACTATTTATATCTTGGTTAACCTGTGCTTTTTTTTCCTTTGTTCAGAACAGTCTACAACAGCAATTATATAAAATGTAACGTGTTTCAAATTCACATTAAAATTAAAAGTTCTGCATAGCTGTTAAAGTGTTTGCATTCATATTGTATTTCTTTTTCTCCCTTTCCTTTCATCTAATATACAACAATGAATAAAATAGTTATAAACAACATAGTTTCCTAAAGATATTTGTTTCTGAATTAATAATGTAATAAGTCATTATCTTGACATTTTTTTAAAGGAATGTGTGGAGAAAAGCTAGTAATAGTTATCATAAAATTACCTACATTTATTTTGTTATTCATCATAATTTTGAGCTGAAATAAAATAAAATCTAAGCAGCAGTCAAAACTTTTTTTTATTTTTATCTAAAAGTGACTAAAACATTTTCAAAATTAAAATGAGGAGATAATTTTAAAACAAGCTATTTATTTTTCATGTTTTCTAAATTTAAGGAGATAAGTTAGAGTTAATGATACATTGTAACGCAACTTAATCAAGTAATCAAGCGAAAAGTTTTAGTTGTTTAACCTAGTTTTTTAAAAGATAGTTTTTCATATACTAATAGTCTACTGAAAATGCCTTCATTGACATTCACTTTTTATATCAATTTACATGTGCTGTTTTTTTTTCTATTTATTGGTATGTTCTAATTGTAAGCTAACATTTAAAGCTATTTTTTGTTGGTGTATTCATTATTAAACAACTAATATAATCTGATTTTTCTCATATTTTTTTTTCTTAATCTTTAGAATTGCAAATAAATTTCTAACTGATATAGTATCATAACAACTGTAATGGTAGAATAATAATGCTGCCCCTCTTAAAAGTGGAATATAAAAAATTATGTTAGATAAATTCTTGTATCGTATTAGATAATAAATTATTCCTAGAGCCTGCGCTAAGCATTCGCCACCTCACAAAATTCAATAAAATCGTAAATTTGGTGAATGATTTTTTCCATTGGAAAAAAAGATATATATATATATTTAACTCTATCCTCAAAATTATGTCAAAATGAATTTTTCTGAATGAATAAGTATTTTTTATTCGATTATAATAGTTTTCGGTAGATGCGGCGCATAACCAATTGGGTCCAAGTAGTATAAGCCTGGAGCAAACTACCGTAAAATAGTTTTCTATAGGAAAAAAATGAATCATAATAAATTGTTAAGATTTGCATTTGGCATAGACTTTCAAATATTAGCGATTACCTTTAATATTTGGTTAATTTGCTGGATAATAATTTGAAATCCTTACCGCAGGCCCTGTTACATGGGAACTGAAAGTTTTTGTTTCAAAATGTTAACAGCTTTGCAAGAAAGTAAACAATTGTTGATTTATAATGATAAACAATCTGCAATTCTGTGCTTGTATTACAATTATTATTTGTATAATGATACAGTACTTAATTTTTTGTTTTTAATTGCATCATTAGGTTCACAGCTTGTACACATTTCAAAATGTATCACATTACTCCAGCTGAATACGATGAGTTTGTCAGCATCATCCGCAGTGCAAGAACTGCATTTCAGCTTACACCAGGAGGGATTGTACAATTCAATGAACTTCTTCAGAGCTTGAGGCGCACCAAATCCTGCAAAAAGGAGTTGTGGCAAAGAATTGCGAACACACTGGCTACGCCAACCATTTGATGGTGAAGTACAAGTAGCTGAAAATTTTTGTCAGTTGCTTTAGAAAGGGAATGACATGTTGCTGTCCATGTTTTGTTATACTGTTAATTACTGTATTCATTTGTGCAGATTTTACCTCCAAGGACTGCTAGTATATGTTTTGTTGATGTCATTGTTTGTTACTTTTATTTAATAAACTGTTTGCTATTAGGCTCAGTCAATAACCATCTGCTCTATCTGTAACATTACTTTTTATCCTAGTTATAAAGGGACATAATTCAAGAAACTTAATAGAAGTGTGCCGGTTTATATTATTTGAAACATTTTCTAAACATCCATATTTAAGTTACAAATAGGAAATTTTGTGATTTAATTTCTTTTTGAAATTTTCTATTTGCAGACTTAGATTATTGCATTATAGAGTGCTTACTTAAGCTGTTGCTGTTAAGCACATAAAGCATCATCCAGCACACCAGCTCTGGTGGAAGATTTGAGTTTTCTGTTTTAGTCACTAAACTTAAAAGGAAGAGCAACTGAAGAAATAATTGTATGAACCAAAGTCACCACTCCAGGCAAAATTATAATAGATACTAATAAGAACATAAATAAAAATCTGCATTGGTATCATTGTTGTGCTCTGAGAGAAAAGTTTCTGGTTCAGTTCAGTTCGATGGAAGTTTTAAGTTTCTCACTGAGCTCTACAAACCAGAGCAACAGAAATTGTAAGAACTAAGGTCACAAGGCAAATTTATTTCAGATTCTAATAAGAAAATGAATAATCAAAAATCTGCATTGGTATCAGTGTTGTACTTTGAGACAAAATTTTTTTAAAAAAATGCTAAGGTGGCAAAATAAAATTTCTACAATTTATTTTATAAGATTTGAAAAGCGTAAATAGAATTGGAATTGTTAAGAATGTGCTAAGTTATGTTGAGAAAACACTTGCCTATAATAAACTAGGAAAAGAAGTTGATTATTTCAGTTTAGAAAAGGAATGTTATAGATTTAGTGCATATAGTTATTGTCCTTCCTACATTTTTAAACAATTCATGAACTGTGGAAGGGATTGAAAATAATCAGAAAGTTTCTAAGTGCCAAACATTTATTCGATTTTTCTTCTTTTTTAGTGTTTTGTTCTGTGCTCAAGTTTAAATAATTCGCTTTATTTATTTTTGTTTCAAATGATCTCAGTAATTGTTATTTTATTTTTTTTAATAAATAGTAATTTTTCTTTACCTGTGTTTGGTTAAAAGTTTTTCATTTTTTGTACCTGTTTTAATAACAAATGTAAAGTCTAATCATATTATTTTTAATCTCTACTATTGTAATATTGCTGGCACTTAGCATCTTTCATGGGATATTTATGTGATTGTTTACTTTGTATCTATTGTTGTATACTTAAAAAATTTATAAAAAATTATTCATATATCATTTATTATTAATACCTTTTTTCTGCACTCAAAAAAAAAGTACTACACTGCACTATTCAAAACAACATTTATTTTGGTGAAGTGCATTTTTAGTTAGTTATTTTTCTTCTCTTTTTATTTTGTGATCTTAGTATATTTATTTTATTTATATATGTTATATTTATTTATATATGGTCTTATATAGCTAAGTATTTATTTGTTTTATATTAATTTATGGGTTTCCATTTGTGATTTAGATTCATTTGAGGATAGTACTTTATGATTATCAACAATTTTGTTAGTGTAAGCAATTTGTATGTGTTTGATGTAATGCCTTTAAGATTGTTTGATGGATGTTAACAAAAACATTTTTTTCTTTTTGCTATTATGTACTTTTTATTTCATCGATAACACTGCTCTTAAAAAAAAACTTTACGCCATTTCTGCTGATCATTATGTCTTATCACCTACGAATATGATCCCATTTTCTCCAATCGCTCACCATTTTCAGATGATGTCTCCTCTTCATGATTATCTCTTTTGATTTGGCTATAAAATAGATTCAGAACAAGGAAAGTATATAAGTTAAATTTTCAAAAATAATTAGTTGTTGAGGTCTTATCCTACATTTAATCTATCAAATTTTCTTGCAAGGGCTTTTGGATTCCCCTTCTCAAAATACCTTATTTAATATTTGGGATTTCACTTCCTATAATACCTTTTTCAATATTTGGAGTAAAAGGGAATTTGGAATGTGTGGAAAACAAGTAGTTATATTACTTTTTTTTTTTCACTTAAGGGGCAAAACCTTTAAACCTCCTTACTACTCCTTATGTACTAAACCATAACTTAAGGCCCTTTAAACCTCCCTCTTTGCTACCAATGTTCATGTTTTAAAAAAAAAATTCTCGCCTCTCTAGCGCCGTTGAAGAGATACAACCCTTTTCATACCAATATCCCCTTTATATATTTTTTCTGACATTCTAATTACAAGCAAAAATATATTTTTCATGTTATTTTTTTAATTATAAAAAACAGTCTAATAGTTGCTAAAAAAGATCTGTTATATTATTGGAAGAATATTTGTACTGAAATATAAAGTCTAATAAAAATAGTTCGAAGTTTTTTTTTTCCATTCATATTCAAAAACATTTTAAATAATTGATTTTGTAAGTTAAAGAAATTTCAATGATGAATAACTTTCTCTTAGATCTAAGAAACTGCAAATAAGTGCAAATTCGAAGAAAAAAAATATTTTTTGGAAGTGAGTTCTGTTTGGAAGATTTTACCTTTAATGCAGAAAAAGACACAACTGTTTCATGCTGTATTTCATAACCATAAATTATTAAAATGCTAACCATACTATTTTTTTACTTACTTTGATCTAGAGTAATCCAAAATAATGAAAAATATGTTCAATAAAATTTCTGCATCAAAGGGTTAGTGGTTAAAACAAATTCCTTCCCTGGATTCAAATCAGCTTCATGGCCATACAATTATGTACTAATTATAATATTTTTTACTTTGATCTAAATTTACACAAAATAATGAAAAATATGTTTAATAAAAATTCTGTGCCTAAGGTTTAGTGGTTAAAAAAAATTCTTCTCCCAGATTCAAATTAAATTCATGGTCTTAAAATTAGATAAAAAAGTTATATGGGGAGGGGGGATTCTCATATAACAGTGAATGATGAGGTAAATAGTGATCGTGATTACAATTCATGAGTTAATCAGCAGAAATGGTGATTGGGTTGATTTTCATGTAGAGCAGTGTAATTGAATTAGTTTACTTCTTTGTTTGTGGTAAATAAAAATTGTAGAAAATGGTGTATCAGTATTTTATATGTGTAAAAAAAAAAAAATTAGTGCTTAGGACAAAATTTTGCGTGAATTTTTCACTGTTACTATTTAACTATTCTATATGATAGCCTTTAATTTTGTATGTGTTAACTCTGTTAATTAAACTTTCTCTTGCATGCCTGGTGTGAGATATACCTTTTATGGTGATAGAGTAATATTTTATAATATATCTTTGGATTGTGAGGTAATTAAGTAGCAGAAAAAAGTTAGTTAAGATCTTAACCAAACCCTCAATTGTCAATACATATGCAATATAATTTTCCAGTCTCACTTATATTTACGGACTAAAGAAATTAATATGCAAATAAACAATTTTGTTGGTATCAATGAATTTGAAAGACTTCAGTTTCAATTGAAAGCTTGTTGCTACCTGCACAGCTATTATCATGTTATAACCTATGCAAACTTTTCAGTGCATTTTTCTAATATTCACGTTTTTTGTCATTAAATTGATGTCTTTTTCTCAACTGTGTTGACATTTATTGATGTGAAAATGGTACTCAACATATTTTATAAATGTTTTTTACGTGTTATGAATAATATGTTCGATTGTTTGTGGAATCTCTTTTTTAAAAGTATATATTTTGCTTATGTGCATTGCTTTTTCAAGAATTACTTTAATTTTGTAAACTCAAACAAAAGTACTGTATTTTCCTACTCAAATACCCATTGTAACACCGATCGAGCGAGATTCGCTTTAGACACTTTTTTACATTTGTTGTTAACGTGTTATTTGATGCTACATATTTGTTATACTGCAATCAGAATTTAAATCTCAATCCTCTAGTTATACTAGTGGATTGCAAAATATTTTTATGAGAAATATCCGGCATTTTATTAATGCACATTGACATTTTTCACAAAGAACAACCTCTACTCATATAGACTACTATTTATTAATTAATTGCACTATAAACTAAATCTAATTCATAAAAAGCACTAAGTGTCTTAGATTCAGAGCACTAGATGAAAAAACAAAATTAGCACTTATGTTTTTGTTATGTGTTTTGCAATTTCTTCACCCTTAAAATTAACCATATGTATCATAATTTATGCAGAATGACAGAAAACTAAAAGTTTCTATCTAAATTGTTTAGTTCCTGAAAGTACTTTTGAAAATTTCCTTTCTATGACTGTTTAAGAATTTGTTTTTAAAAAGATTTTAAAAAAATAAAGCATTAAAGATTATTTTTGTTTTTAATATGTTATTCAGCCACTGTTTTTAATTTACAATTTTTAAATTTGGTTATTTTTTTCTAGTTTTTGGTATTTTCATTTTTTACTTATTAATTTTATTTTTAATTTTAATTTAGCAATGATTTAAACTGGTGTTACTTACTATTCAGCATACAAACAGCTTGTTTACGACTTATTAGACTGAATTCTGTTTTTTAAAAATTTTATGAAATTATTTAAATTTTTGTTAAATAAGTTTTTTTTTGCTGACAAATAAAGCAATACCTAAAAAAGTTATAGGTAGTGAAGTTATACCCAGCTATATTGCACAATCTGTGAATTCAACAATAAATCCACTATTAATGATGATTAATGATAATATTGTTTGAAATTATTTGAAATAATAACTTTTAGTATATGACAATAAATAATATTGTTGGAAGCAGGAATTGTGATAGTACAAAATTTGCTTGTAAATTAGTAACGAATTACGCAAATAATCAATCAAATATTAAGAAAATAAGTAATTAATATCTAAAACTCAATTTTCTTTTTATATTGTATGAACGAAATTAGTGGTTTTCGACTTAATGCAATTAAATTTTAAACAGAATTCTCCGATCCCCCCCCCCCCCCCCNNCCCCCCCCCCCCATCAATTAGTAAAGAATCCAGCATTTTGTGGTTTGAAAAAAAAAAAATTCAAGACCTTTGCTGGAAATTATATTTTTGAGATAGAAAATGATGAAAATTTATCTTTTTCTTCAGCATTGGGGTAAGAGAAAATTATGCATTTTAATAATTATGAATTAATAATGTATTTCATTAACGGATTTAATAATTTCTTTCCCTTGTTTTAGGTGATCTGAATTTAAAGAACCGAGAAGAAAAAAAAGTTATGGTAAAGGGAAATTTTAATCCACTATAAATTAACTAACACTTTCTCAGCTGTCCACTATCAATATATGTACTCTAAAAAAAATCCCTACCACAGAAAATTCATTAGATCACACAGGTAGATATACCGAGATTCATTAAATATAGCAGGATTTAACTGAAGTAATAATAATTATTAATACCTTATTTTATTTTAATGGATTGTTCCACACCAATGCTACCATTTTTTGCATTTTGATATTTATAAAAATATCAAATGCTGGGTCTGCTTTGAAAATAAAATTTCATATTTAACTACAGGTTTTATTGGACAAAAGTTAGTTTACTCAATTATTAGTCTGTTAGAGGGAGGTAATATCTAAATTCCCATTAAATAAAGTATATTATTTTTGCAATATAATGTGCATTAGTTAATAAGCATTATGCTTTAATATAAGAATGTCTAAAAACAAGGTTATATCTGTTACAAAAGTATCTTTTTTAATTATAATTATTTGAATATTTTTTATTTATGGCTCAATCATATTTTTTTTTATTTATGACTATTGTGCTGGGATTGCCCAAATATATAACTAGATTATTTTTTTTAAAGTAAAGCTTTTTAACTCACTTCTTTACTCATAAGGATCCATATGATTTGGCTCATAGAGATTACTAATTACAGAAACAAAAGGAGGAGAAACAAAATAAATATATAGTAAAACTTCCAAAATACGAATGAAATGTTAAGAATAATTTGTTTTTCTCACTTGTGTCAAAATTTATATTTTTACAATTATGATATATATATTTAATCTGATTTTGGCCATATTTAAAAAATATTATAAATCATTCTAACCTTAATGTTTTTTTTAATTGTCACTTAAAGTATTGCCATATTTTTGAATAATTTTAAGCTTCACAAACAGTTTTCTTCCCTGAATTTTATTTCTTTAAACTATTATGTGCTGTTAAATGTGTTGCTTATTTTTTTTATTTAGTTTTAAAACTTGTTGCACATTTTTTTTATTTATTTTATGCATTACTTAGTATGTATAAATCTATTATAAACTTGCCTGAAATACTCTTTAGAAAATTTTGCTTGAATATGCAAGAAAGCCTTCTAAATTCCTAATCTTTTATTAGATAAACATAATAAGAAAAATAAAAC